TCCAGCATCCATTGGCTTTGACCATCGCAATCGACTGGATTCACCAGAACGATTCCCTGCTTGGAAGGTAGGCATCCGTCTAGCCCTCGAGTCAATTGACGCCTGGGATGTTGTTGGCGGAGATGAGACCGCATTCCCTTCTACACCCAAAGATCCAAAGGACAGACAAGCCCGCCTTTTGATCTCTCGCTCAGTAGACCTTCGCTACTACCATCTGCTGGAACCTCACCTGGATGGCTCAGCACGCGCATGCTACAAAGCGATCTGCACGTACTTCCTGGCAGAAACACAGACCAGCAAAGCTCGACTTTCTTACAGATTCACACAACTGTGATGCACCACAGACTTAGCATCCCACCTGAAAGCCTTCAAAACAGACCTGGCATCATTAAAATCACTCAACGTTGCGCCATCTGACTTCTTTGTTGGCATTGTTCTGCTTGGGTCGCTGCCCTCAGAATACGGCATCCTGCGCAGGGAAATCATCCGTGAAGACCCCTTCCCGTCCTTAGAAAGCATTTACATCCGCCTCCAGGATGAATCCAGGTTGTTCACTGACAGAGCAACCTTATCCGCAACTGCCATGGTCGCATCAACTCCATCCACCTCACGCCACGACAAACCGCCTCCTGGTCCCTGCCCAGCTTGCAACAGCACCACCTGGCACTGGCTAGTAGCTTGCCCCGACGCCGCAGCTGTGAAGCGCTACCAGGATCAGAAATCCTCAACCAGACGACCTCCAAAGCTGAACAGACCACGAGCCAACCTGGCCAGCGTGTCAGTACACCTGCTGCGCGGCACAACCTCTGGAAGCCACAGCGACAGCTCAGCGTTACCCTCCCCTTCTGGAGACTTTGACTACGCCTATGGATGGACAGCACTGGCAGAAACCGTAGTAGGTCTGTCAGCAGTTGGTCGCGGCACAGATTGGTACCTAGATGGAGGTGCGACTCAACACATGACCGGCACCTATCACCACATGGCACAAGGAACACCTTGCTCGACACTCATCCAGGGCATTGGTGCTCAAGTCCAAGCGACACACAGAGGTAAGGTCCCGCTCACCATTGACAAGGATGGCGCTGCCGTAGGGGTGCTTCTGCATGATGTGCTCTATGCACCCGAGCTTCACATCAATCTGATATCTGTGCCTCAGCTCAACCTGCGTGGCATTCAGGTCCTACAAGACATCCCGCTCTCGACACTCATTGACAAGGTCACCAAAGAGGTTGTAGGGTATGTGGACTACGTCAACGGGCAGTACAAGCTACGTCTGCTGCCCAATGTGTTGGAGCCACCCACGTGGGCTTTTGTAGGTGCCTCAAACTCAGCCCAATCCCTTGTGCGCTGGCACAACCGACTCAACCATGTCAATGCCGACGACATCGTGCGTCTGATGAAGCACGGGCACCTCATCCTCACCGACCAGCACAAAGAAGTGTGTGACACTTGCTTTGCCGCCAAACAACATCGTCGCTCTTTCCCACCAAGAGGGGATGTGGCTGCTACACGCCCACTGGAGCTGGTCCACTCCGACATCCTAGGGGTTGGCCTCCAATCTTACCACGGCAAGCACTACATCTGCACATTCGTCGATGACTTCAGTCGCCGCCTCTGGACTTATCCTATTGCCACCAAGGACCAAGCCCTC